CGGATTCTATCCCCACAAGTTATTCTGCTGTTTCCTTTGCTTATTTTATTTCCTGTAACAGATTGTGCTCTGTCAACCTCAGCTGGGAACTGCCGTGCCTAGAACTTCTTTCTGGATGTGATTCCAGGTGGTGAGAGGAACATATGTGAGATTTCAAAAGCAGATGTGAAGCTGCCATCATTTTTCTGCAGCTACTTGCAGGAAGATGCTATGATGAACAGAGGGACCGGACAGGTTCCAGCCTAGCCCTACCGTTCTGCGTGCCGCACCCAGCAATTCTTCCTTGCTGCCGGCACTGCTGGGCAACAGGGGTCCAGGTCTATGAAGAAAAACCAAGTATGTCTCCCCCCAAATATTGAGGACTGTCAAATTAAAGACATTGAAAATGCAGTGGGACCTTTGGCCTCGGCCTCTGCTTGCCTGATTGCAGGACATCAATCCTTCCTTTCTGGATATATCACTTGCTTATTCGCCTAGAGGGGTCTGTGAACAGATTTTACTATTTCCCCATCTCATAAAAGTCTGGAACCACTCTCTTCTTTGTCTTTTCACTGTATAGGACTTATGGCTCTTTCTTAAATACTATTTAAACAAGCTCCCTAAGCCCCTGCCTTGAGAGAAAAAAAGCTTTAGAGCTGAGGCCTCTCCTGTATGGTGAACACAGCACATGTTAATAGAGTTCTGCTTGCTTTTCTTTTGTTAATTTGACTTATTTTCAGGACAGTATCTCCACTAAAAACCTGAAAAGGAAAAGAAAAAGAGCATGTTTTCTCCTCTACGTTTACCACTGAATTCACCGGTAAGGACCGCAGAGGCAGCAGCCCACCACAGATTCCTCCATGAGCTCCATCCTGGCAGTACCACTTCCATGGCCAGAGGGGCTTGCTCAACTTGTTCTCTCAGACTAATCTTCAGGAAGCTGGCTTAGTGACTCCTTTTCTGATGCTCCAGGCCCACTGCCCCAAGTTTTCTTCCAACTCTAATAGAGGATCAGATTTCCTTACTCAATCCAGTGATTCATACATTCTGACTGAAATGTGGGCAGTCTCCCAGAAACCCCAAGCTGGGCTAACTTTTTATCCTCTGTGATCTTGTGGCTTCCTGTCCCCAGCTCTATCATAACATATGTTACCTGGCAGTGTATGCAAGTGGCTACGGTCTCTTCTATTTGGCCATAAGTTCCTGGAGACCAGGGTTTGAGTTTTATTTATCTCTGAACTGCAACCACTCAGAACAGTACTTGACATATAGTAGGTACTTGATAAATGTTCATTGAACTGAATGGCTTTTAATACAGAGGGATAAGCATCCATGGTAGTCAGCATCCTCCTGAGATAAGGGCTATTCTGTTCAGCCTAGATGAGTCCTGGAAAGAGGAGAGTTGGCTTAGGAATGATGATGGGCTGCTTCATCTTCTTTGGACTAGCCAATGAAGAAATATGGAACTCTTCTGAGACGCAATTGAGCTAATACTCATGGACACCCTTATAACTGAAAAAGTCCTTCATTAAGTTAAGAAGTGCTCATGACAGCAGTAGAAGCTTCCAACTCCTCCTTCATTTCTCCTCTCTTTAGCCCTGATCCCTATGGACAAAAGAAAATGTTGGCCTACTGGAAGAACTACCCCATGGTCTGAGACCCCAGTTCCTTGATATTGAGTCACACATTTTGTGTTCTTTTGATTACTGTGAGGATCAAATGAGTGTGTGCTGAATGAATGGCTGCCCTTCCTATTCAGTCCCTCAGATTCACTGTTCGAATGTTCTTGATGGACTCCCAAAGAGGAAGAGAGGCTCAGCATGAAAAGCAAATGGTAAAATGCTCCCACTGCTATAAGGTGCTTCACTGCCCCCTCAAAACCCACAATGAGATTTTATGTGACCTGAAGCCTCAGGAACTTCTGTTCGACTCTTGAAAAAAAAAGAAATACCTTTAATTCCTAATGTAGCCTTCAGGATTAGGGGCCAAGGAAATTTTGTAAATTAAGTTATTGCAACCAGAAGTTAGTAACCAGCACTCTGCTAAGCATCTCAAAATCCAAGTTTTATTTCAAACCATCTTGTGATAATGACAGTAATTTACTAAAATGTATTTTAAACATCTCAAAATCCATTTTTTATCTCAAATACTGTCATGTGACAATAATAGTAATTTACTGAAATGTCTCAGCAGAATGTTGTATTCAAATGATCAAATTATAAATACTGACTTTAGGAAGCCCCAAGTATTCAGCAGAACATATAAATCAAGACAGTACTGGGAATTCCCAAATGACTTGAGATGTTTTTAAAGGTGTTTTATAGTAATTAGGAGTTTTTTAATAGATACACGGGAGCAAGAATAGAATTAAACAAACAAATAGGTCTATAAAAGCACTAAAATTTAGGCATATGACTATTGGAAACCTCAAGATCAAGATGTCCTACATGGAAGTGTGATGTCATTTGGCCAGGTCAGAGGATAGATCTTGGCTGGTCAAGTGATGTGATGCTCCTACAATAATTAATAGGCTATAAAATGCAGTTAACATTAAACCTGTGATAATGGTAACATATTTTGTCATTGTAAGGTACCAATGTCTTAAAGTTATCATTATGAAAAGCAACCTTACTTTCTGTAAAAATAGGCAAAAGTGGATGAATAAACTGCTCCAGACACATAGGAATAGATTCTAAGTTTGTGAGTATGTTCTATTGGTTTGGAAGTGTCCTTGCAACAAACATCTCCTTTTAAGAAATTTTCCTAGGAATCTATCAATCCATAAAATAGTCAAAAACATTTCTCCATAACCAAATTTTCTATAAAGCACTTGCATTTTTTGATGCATTAGGCATGGGAAAGGAAGACTTAGTTTCTGCCTTTAAGAAGTTCACTACGGCCGGCCTCAGTGGCTCAGCCTGTAATCCCGCGCCGTGGGAGGCTGAGGTGAGTGGATTGCCTGAGCCTGCAGGTTCGAGATCTGCCTGGGCAACTTGGCAAGACCTCATCTCTACAATAAATAAAAAAATTAGCCGGGTGTGGTAGCAGGCGCCTGTAGTTCCAGCTACCTGGAAGGCTGAGGTGGAAGGATCGCTGGAGCCCAGCAGGTCGAGGCTGCGGCGGCCAGGAGCAGCCACTCCACTCCAGTCTGGGTGACAGAGTGAGACTCCAACTCAAAAAAAAAAAAAAGAAAAAAAAAAGAAGTTCACTATGTGAGCATGACTATTTGGGGCTGAATTTGGCAAATTTTCTGAACTGATGCGTGTCTTTTATTATGTACCTCTGCTGGCCCTGTCCCCAAGTTTCCCACTGCAACATTGTGCATAGGTGACCAAAGTCCACCAAAACAAGGATTAAATCCAGTTTAATTTCTTCTTGACAAACAGGATCTTTCCTCCATTTTTTCTCCTAAGAGAAAGAGTCCCTACTTCCCCACCATGCTTTGTTTTCTAATTGTTATTTATTTCTGTACATTTGAATTTCTTTCTCGTATTTTTTTCAAAGTTTTTGTTTCACTCAGTGAATGTATCTAGAAATTTTTATGGTAAAGGCGTTATGCCAGACACTGTGGGATACAAAAGTGAATACTATCAGGACATAGTCTCTCACACAAAATTTATGATTTAGATGAGGAACCAATACACCTGTATACAACCAATCCTGGCACAAAGCAGGAGGCAGAAGAGATGGGTTGGGGGCTGGAGGGGTGAGCATAGAAGGAAGATGTTGGGTATGTTGAGTTTGAGATCTTGGTGGAACATCTGAAAAGTTACTTTCCTGGAGGTAAACAATCAGGGGTCGAGTCTGGGAAAAACAATAGGGCTGAAAATGTATTTGGGAGTAATCTACATAGAGGTGGTAATTGAGGCTATAAGATTAGATTGGAACAGGATTTATTACTCATGGAACTGCTGGAATTTGGGGCCAAATAATTCTTTATTGCAGGGGACTGTTTATCAGTGTTCCTGGACTCTATCCTCTAGATATGTCAATAGCATGCCCTGTACAGTGGCTACAATCAAGAATGTCTCCAGACATTGCTGAATGTACCCAAGGGGCAAAATTGCCCAAGAGTGAAAACCACTGGATTCGAAAGACAGGGAGATGGTGCAAAAACTGAAGGGGAAAAAAAAGATTGTAAAGGACAAAATTTGGTGAAAAATATGTATGGGGTAAGAGAAAAAGAGAAAGACAAAAAGGATAAGGAGATTAGACATTCATTGAGTAGAAGATACTATCCTAAAATTCAGGGGGAGGAAAATGACTTCACTTTTGTAATTGAAGTTCAATCTGGGTGAATAATTAATATGCATACACACACATCCAGGATATGGACACTTTCTCTGTCTGTAGACACACAGGCCATGTGCAAGTATACATCAAAAGTATTCATTGGGAGAAAGAAATAATATTTGCCTAAACTCTTTTTTTTATTGGTTCTTCTCAGTAAGACAAATAATATTATCAAATATTGCCAATCTTACATCACTTCTTTCTGAAAAGAAGTTTAAGGTGGGAGTAATGAAGTTAGAATTAACTATGACCGTCTGCTTCCTTTCCCCTATGTGTCTCTGTGTGCTCCATAACTTGGGTTTCCAGTATGCTCAAGTTCTCTCTTGCTCCCCTAATGAGCAATGATAATCTCAAGAATGATTTAGATAAACTTGATTGCACTTCAATTATTTTGAAGACTGATTGTATCTCCACATCTAATGCTTAAAAGTAAAAGTGAGAAAATTCTGATTTAACTCAAATGAATTTCTAAATCCCCATTTTTGAAATTCAGGAATCGAGAGAGAATTCCTTTTTCATTGGAATTGTCTTCCCTGGACGTCCAGAAGTGGACTCATTTGGTAGCTTCAGTACACCTGGAAGGCTAGATCTATCGCTCCTAGTTGGGTGTCCATTAGACCAATTGGAAGAATCTTCTTATTTAGTCAAACCATACTCCTACCATTGCCGAGAAAAGACACTCAAGATTTCTGTATTGGCAAAGAATCTTAGTGAGTGAGGATCACAGCCTAAGCATGTCCAGGAAACAGGCTTAGGGTGGAAGAGTCAGGGCGGAAGATCATTCCTGTGACAATCGTCCTCAATGCCCTGCGAAACCAAGGATAAAACATGCCATATATAATGGGGTTAAAAGTGGAGTTGAAATAACCCAGCCAGAGGAAGAGGTTGTACAAATCTTCAGGGGTTGCAAAGTTAATGAAAGGGTCTATGATGGTCAAGATGAAAAAGGGAAGCCAGCATAGCACAAACACTCCCATGACTATGCTTAAGGTCCTGGTGGCCTTGTTTTCCCTTCTGGATGATCCCTTCCTTTGGGTTTCTGACCCTACCCTAGCCCCTGTGCCAATTTGCTTAGTGTGCTTCCTGGCTATGGTGAAAATGTGTATGTAAATCCCCACCATGACTGTCCCAGGGAGAAAGAAAGCTATCAAGGAGGCAAGTACCCCCCAAAGCTTATTAAATATTAACACACACAAACCCGTGCAGTCAGTGGCTGCAACAAAATCTTCTGCACCAATGATGTTTAATTCTGAGAAGACCAAGCCAAAGGCAAAAAAGATGGGCACGAACCAACCGATGAGTAGAAAGACCACTATGACAGGGAGGGTAATTTTGGTGACATACTGTAAAGGGTCACAAATGGCATAATAGCGGTCAACAGAGATGAAGCAGAGGTGGAAAATGGAGGTGGTGCAGAGCAAGATGTCGCAGCTGCTGTGGACTCTGCAGAAGAGGTCTCCAAAGTACCAGCAGGACTCGATGGACCTGACCATGCTGAAGGGCATGACCACACAGCTCAGCAGAAAGTCCGTGGTGGCCATGGAGAGGATCAGGAAGTTGGTCGGGGAGTGGAGCTGCTTGAAGTGGGTGATGGAAATGATCACCACCATGTTGCCCAGCATAGTCATCACTATAGCCCCGATCATGACCAGGGACATGGTCCAGACACTTAGCACGGGCCTCACATTTCTAGGGCATGAATTGTTAACCGAAGGAAAGCACAGTTGTACTGCTGGGGGCTTCTGGATGTCAGCCAAATTCATCGTCTTTGTCCCGTGGTGCTATGGGTCTTTTTCAAAAGTACTATGTTGCTCTCCTTCGTGTGTAAGAAAGAAGAAACACAATAAAAATCATGGACAGGACAGATTTTTACAGAGACCCACCAGACTGCATTTCCAATCCAAGTTTAAATTTCCTGCTGACCAGGAACACTGCTTCCCAAACTTTCATGTGCACACAAATCACCTAGAGATCTCTTTTTATTGTATACATTTATGGGGTACAAGTGTAGTTTCATTAAATGGATATATTGCACATGATGAAGTCAGGACTGCTTTTGGTATATGTATCATTGGAATAATATACATTGCACCCATTCAGTAATTTCTCATCCTTCACCTTCCTCCCACTTGTCCACCTTTCCAAGTCACCATGTCCATCATGCCACACTGTATGTCCATGTGTACACATTATTTAACTCCTGCTTATAAGTAAGGACATGCAGTATTTGTCTTTCTGTGTCTGAGTTGTTTGACTTAAGATAATGGCTTCGGTTCCATCCATGTTTTGCCCAGGGATCTTTTTAAAACATAGGCTCTGATTCTGGGGTAGGAGCTGAGATTCTGCATTTCTCGTACGTTCAGGAAATGCCAGTGCTGTCAGTCCATAGATTACTCCTTGAAAAGGAAATGACTTTAGAAAATGGAATTGCTATTCATACAGGTGATTGCATGTTCTGGTTGTCCTTAAGATTTCAAATCCATAGGCAGATCAAGAATTTTTCATGTCCCCATAATAGCCAATTTTGTAGATAAAAGCTACTCAAGAATTATCAAAAATTGTGGAACTATTATTTAATGTTTAGCTTAAACAATAATTATGATCTGAAGATTATGCTGCTATTCTTTTTAAAATTCCTCTGTAAGCACTTGCCAATGCTTTTGATCCTGCTACTTGCTACACACTATTCGGTTAAGAAAACATGTCTCTCTCCAATGTGAAGAACATAATTTTTAGTACTTTGATATGCTAAGGGCTGCAAGGTTATAGATGAATAATCTAAAAAAAAAAAAAGTGGGAAAATGCCTGAAATAATAGATTCTGTAATTCTCTCAGGTTATCTCCTTTCATCTAGCAGCTGCATTCATGTATCCAAACTCGGCCTGAAGCCCTCCCATCCTCAGATTTCACTCTTGCCTTGGTAACAAACGGGAGATATATGAGTGCTCTTTTTTTTTTTTTTAATCTTAGGACTTTCCACTACTCTTTGTTGTGATTCTAACAGAATTTTTTGACACACTATCCAAGACAAACAAAGAATAGCAGCAACAACAACAACAAAAAAGGATGGAGGGGAGATCTTTTTTTTTTTTTGAGTTGGAGTCTCACTCTGTTGCCCAGACTGGAGGGCAGTGGCCGCTCCCGGCCACCACAGCCTCGACCTGCTAGGCTCCGGCAATCCTTCCACCTCAGCCTTCCAAGTGGCCAGAATTACAAGCATGCGCTACCACGCCTGGCTGATTTCTTTGATTTATTGTAGAGATAAGGTCTTGCTGCCCAGGCGGGTCTTGAACCCGCAGGCTCAGGCAATCCACTCACCTCAGCCTCCCAAAGGCTCGGGATTACAGGCTGAGCCACCGAGCCGGGCGAGGGGAGATCTTTTTAAAATGCTCCTTGTTTAATCTGTTATTTTGTATCATTTATGCTGCTGCCTTTGTAATGGGAAAATAATGAGACTGACTCACCGGCTTATGACATAGGTTTGATTTGTTTTTCCAGTGCCAGAGCTAGATGTGTAATTCTGATGACAAATTGCAAGCATTTGTGGCAGCTAGTGCCAGTTAAAGTGGACTTTGGCCTGAGAATACAATAAAACTCACTGTCCTGTTGGGAAAACAGACAAGCAAAGTACATCCTCATCAGATTTACTTGAAGACGTGAATGGAATGGAAGGACCTTTGAAAATGATGCTTCCACTTTTTGCTACAACAGTTCGACAAGTATTTCTAAAGCCTGTATATTATTTGAGATCTTAACATTATGGCATGTTTTACTCTCTCTGGAAATACTCATTTATTTTCTCAGATTATCGTTTTTCTTTATATTATTTTAAAAGGACACTCACATCTTACACAATTAGGTTGAACTTCAAAAACCAAACCATAAGGAAGTAAAATGTCAGAAGGACAAAGACTTATTTAGCTCCTAATCGGTGCAAGCGCAAAGTATCTGATTACTTCTCACTTTGGTTCCTCTATTATTTTCATAGAGGCTGAAAATAATAAAATCTTAACCAGCTAATTACTTTATTTGATAAGTTAACTTTATCCTGCTCTTTGCCTTCTTTGCTTTTATAATTTAAAATGTTTCTTCAATTCTTTGAAAAAAAATTTTCAATTAATCTTCGGAGATAACTAACAGCTACTACAAAATTAAACATGTGTTACTATATATTCATAGATTTAGCATCCCCCATACAAAATAGTATATTTCATTGTAGAGTGTTTGAAGTTTTAAATTTCAATTTTGAAAACCTAATCCCTGAAAAAAAAATGGACACAATTTAACCTCCTAGGTTTGCAAAGTGAATTTATTTTATTTTTTTTTAACATGGAATAAAACAAATTCTAGAAACGAATTGTTTTCTCATGTCCCTGTCACAGAGTTACATATATTAAGGAGATAGTTAAACATTTAAGTGTCAGATTAAGACAAGGAGATAGAGTAAGACATATACATTAAAAATAATTATTACATAGGTGAATTGTTAAAGTAACATCAACTATAAGAATAATTTTAAACCTCTGTCTTAAGCTCTTGGCCAAAAATTACAAAAACACGTGATTAAATGCAAATGTGACTGCAGGGCTACTGTTTTGTTAAAAGAAAATTGGTATAAAATTAAAGAGTTGGGGTTTGGTTTGTTGTTTAAAAACTTAGAGTAGAGATTGCTTTGGAGATTCAAGATATACACAGAAATTTTAAAATAAAATAAAGTTAAACCCTCTATAACATTTCACATTGCTCACGGGACAGAATCATGTTGTGCCTTTTTCTCTTTTTACCAAAAACATTTTCCCAAGCAGCAGCAATGAAAGACTAAGTTAATTACAACATGGCAGTCACATAAGGCAGGTATAGGAGACTATTTGTTATTTCCTCTAGGAGGTAGGAAGAAACATTTGCTAACAATTCTGGAGGAGAGAAGAGCAATAATTACATTCATTTTTAGTTCTAGTTTAGTACTTTAAGGGTGAAGAACACAGACTAATGAAATAGACACAATCACTCTGAAATAATAATTTTGAAAAGGTCAAAGCTGCTCAGAATTTCAAGAAAAAAAGTATGTAATAATTTTTTCCTCTAGTACTAGATATCCAAAAGTATGTTAGTATATATTATTTCCCTCAGATAAGAAGGGGAAAACAAAATGCATCATAAATAAATGGAAAATATTAGAAGAGGACACATCACATCTGTTTTATTAGGCAAGATTTTCTTCTCTTACTGGCTGCATAACCGAAACACTTAATTCTGGGCATATTTCTGCAAAAAATATTGATTTTATCTTACTTTTGAATATCTTACTCATATGACAGTTGCTTAGGTAAGAGAGATTATTTGTAAATTAGACTTAGGAAAGTTTTGTTGTGGGTCTTTTATTGATTCTTTAGAATCTCAGTGATTTTTTAAAATGATCCAGATTTATTTGCATAAGTCACCATTTTAAGTGTGTGTGTTTTTTTCAACATGCAGAAATAACATACAAACAAATCTACCTGATTTTTTCCCCCTCTCTTAATACACTCTTCTTTGGGTTACCAAAATGTGGCTGATTAGGTTGGGGGTAATTGGGTTGAAATGTGAGACATCTGTTGTGTTACGGTTTCTTACCAGGCAAATGAATATTATGCTCTCTTGCTCTCTTCCCCTCTCATCTCACTCTGCTGTGGGTAGGATACTAGCAGGCTGTGCTGTCATCCGTATTTATGCACAAAACAAGACTCTTGAGGCAGTGGAACCCTGTGTCTTGCTTTTGACAGGTGTGTCTTTTCACAACCGCCAGTGTGCTGCCAGCAAGAGATTACAGTAAGTCACCAGAGAATTGGCTCCAAGAGTGGAAGCCAGTTTTGTGCTACCTTTGCTATGACCTCAAAGGGACAACATGGGCTAGGCTCACACAAGGTCAAAGGTAGGAAAGAACAAAAAAGAGTGGGGGAGGCGAGGGACAGAAGGAGGGAGGAGACAATTTAGTTCAAATCCAACTCATGCTCACTCCACCTATTGCCAAGTGCTAGGTAATGTTTTCACATGGAGGATTATTTACTCTCTAGTGAAAGTTGGACCTCCTAATATCTTTTCCTTTTGCTGTTACACACAAGTCAGTGATATTCTTTCATACTGCAGTTCTTTTACATCTACAGATTTCCAAATAAAGATTCCAGTCCAAGCAAAACAAAAAAAGAGGGAGGTTTCAAAACAACCAGATGAAAAGCAGAATATTCCATCACCATGCAGGTATTTTCATGATCACTGGGGAAGGCATTTCCATGAGTGGACCAGAGTTCCAGGCACTCAGTCTCAAGTTGTTCACATGGATAATGTTATCATCCATCAAGACAAAAAATTACCGTGTTTAAATGCACAATGCTCTGTGAAACATCAAGGCTTAGGTATTTATGAAAATAGTATCAAATTGTTAATACTTGGCTGGGCTCAGTGGCTCAGCCTGTCATCCCAGCACTTTGGGAGGCTGAGACGAATGGATTGCCTGAGCCCACAGGTTCGAGACCAGCACAGGCAACTTGGCAAGAGCTCATCTCTACAATAAAATAAAAAATACCTGGCGTGGTAGTGTGCATCTGTAGTTTTAGCTCCTTGGAAGGCTGAGGCAGAAGGTTCACTGGAGCCCAGCAGGTCAAGCCTGCAGTGGCCATGAGCGTGCCACTGTCCTCCAGTCTGCGTGACAGAATGAGATTCTAACTCAATAAAAAAATTATTAATACTTGAATCAACAGGTAAGAACTAACTTTATTACATCCTC